AGTGATGCCTAACATTAACTGTTGGTTAGTTCTGTTGGTTGGCATTGGTTGAACAAAGGGTCACAGATATTTTTAATGTTTCTTGATTGAGGCTGGAGAAAGTAAACATAAGAATTAAGTTTCAACACTCTCTTATGAATAATCCCTATCTTTTTTCAGCTTGCTGTGAATATTACAGTTAGTAAAATCATTTACAAAAACAGTTATAGAAAGAATACCCAGAAGTGACATCAAAGTAAGAGAACAATATTCTTTTTTAATATGAGCAGATATTTCAAAAAGAAGGAATGAAGTATATGTTTAGTCTGTTCACGCTTTGGCAATTATGCGATTAGGTTAGTTCACATTTCAAGCACGAGATGTAAAACATTGATGCTAACCTTGAGCAATCAAAACTCATGGACTAGATGATCTTCCAGGTCTTTTCCAACCTAGATGATTCTGTGATTCATGCACACAAGTACCCTACCATGAATCAAGGTTTGAAGATAATGGAATTAATGTAAATTTTAAAACATATTTCTAATGGTTTCTGAAATTGAGGGCACAGAGAGACCAGTTTCTGACCTTTCCCTACAATTCTGAGAGATAAAAATGGCTATTTTATTTTTGAGAACCAAGATACTCACAAATCATATGTTTTCATGGGCTACAACTTAGAGGGCCAAACATCATGAGACGTTCCATAAAAAATCAGGAAGACTATGAACACTTCCAGATAACCTACATTATCAATGGCTTTAGGAGGTATCTGGAAAGTATGTTAGAAATGAGATTGCTTTTTGAACTGTATTTTCTACTCATTTTCTCATTAAAGAGAAGCTAGTGCTTGGATCTATTCCCACTGAAGTCCTTGATTTCAGTGGTTACACTATCAGTTATTTATTAATTTTTAAAAGTGCTGAATGAACTATTAAGTTTTGTTCCTTACTGTCTTTTAACATGCATCATTGAAACAAATATCCAAAAAACTACTGACCTGAACTATAAACCCAGAGCTAAACATTCATGGACATTACGGCAATTTCTTTTATATATGATTTTTAGACACCAATACTTTCTGTTTATGTGAGCCACAGGTGTGAATTATTTCAGGTTTAGAATAGCCTCTAAGTAATAAATCTTAGTCTTCTGTCAAAAAGACTATACCTTATCATAGCTTATCCATCACCAAAGAAACCATTCATCTAGATGGAGTAAACTTCTGGGGTTTGTTGCAAATGCGAAGATAAACTTTTTGATATATGCTTTACCAAATCCCTGGATATTGTAATCTTACTATTCAGAAGAAAATTACGTGATTTTAGAAATAATTGTGCTTTAATTTAAATGTTTAAGAAAGACAGTGACTGCTTCTCTTTACATGTCTGTTAAAGATTTTGATGAAAATAGATATAATTTCATAATATTATCTGAACTGTCTACCCTCACCCACAGCCTACTTTTGATTTTTACTATTATGGCCAATCATCTTTAAGCTATTATTATATCGTCACAGCTGGAAGAAAACAGAATAACATATTAAACAATCACACCTCTTGGGTTGATAAAAGAAGAAAGAAAGCAAGCCAGAAATGTTTAGATGCTGAGTCTGAAAGCCAGGGATAAGGAAAACTACATTTTTAACAATTTAAGAAAATGGTCTAGGAAAAGAGAACTGGAATGCATAAGAAAAAATAAAATGTATCTAAACAGAAGTGTTTCATTTTCACAGAATCAACATTTTCAAAAAGATTAAACTTAACTTTATAAATATTTTTTCAGTAACATACCCCCCCAAAAGCATTTAGTCAAAATATTTCCAATCACCCCTAAGATAAAGTCCCATTTCTGCAAACACTGCCACAGATGGTAACTTGAATACTCACAGTGATGCTTTAAAAGACTTACAGCAGAAAAGTTATATACACAGCACAAGTGTTTGTAGGATTTGAGACTGACAGAAACAAACTCAAAACAAAAAAAAAACAAATCCTAATTTTGAATGGTTATCTCAACAATAAAGCTGAGGGGAGATATTCATGCCTGCATTTCCAAATGAGTTCATAACCTCAAGGATTAACACAATATAAATGTTTGAATTACACAGTGTTAAAAAATGTGTCTGATGTTGGTTGGTGAAACATTTGAAATACCTTTCCCCACAGGCTACTGTAGTATCTGCAGATGAAAAGGTGACTTAATGATGAGAATCCAGGCAGAGCGAGTACAGGAAATTAATGTAAAAACTGGATTACCACAAGCAAAGAACATATTATTAGTTTAATTTGCATCGCTCCCACAGAGGTAATATAAAAGAGTGAACTTTAGAAGGGCAGACTTGTGAGATCGAAAAAAATGGCAAAATTAAGAGTTCATCTTTTCTTCTTTGATTTGCAATTAAGCTACAGAAGCACAAACTGGGACTGAGCATAGGTATGGAGTTAGCCGTGCTCAAAAAGAACAAAACTGTTGTCACAACTGTCACAAAACTATTTCACAAAACAGATAACAGCTGTTATCTGACCTCACAAGCCAGGAGCAACCAACTCCGTCTGCCAGTGTGTTGCACGCTGACCAAGGAGCGTGACGGTTCTGCATCCACACGGCTTTGCCAGGCTGCACCCCAGGGGTGATGCCTCAGACAGCCTGAGTCCTCCTGCAACCGCCCCTTTGCCCACACCTGCACCTGTACCTGCACCACGAGTGCTCCCAGATCACCTCCCGCCCTTTCTGGACCGAATGTGGGAGGCCTCAGTGGCAAGGGGCCCTTGCAGCACTCCTGATGTGGTTCTTCACACACTGTGTATCCTTGGGGAGACCTATGCAACACTGCTATTCAGACCTGTAAAATGGCTCATTGGAGGGAGAAAAGGACCCTTCACTATATTAAGAAACAGAAGAAAAGACGGTTCATGGAGGAAGAAAATAAGATCAGTGTTTTTCTTCCCAGACATTGAAATTTTGCTTTATCCACACCCACAGCCCTGTGGCTTACAGATAGCCCCTGAGGAATGACATCGGGGTACTCACAAGTTCCATGGTCATCTAGAAGGTCCCAGCAGCCTCCTGTTCCCAGCCCCAAACCATCTGAGCCTGAGCATGTCATCCCAGCATGGCTTCCGTAGCTCAGTCCTCAGATAAATCCTGGGAAGATGTACTGGGGAAGGGAACAGCCCTTTGCCAAAGGCCCACGAAATAACTATGGCCTCCTGCAAGCACCCGGGAAGACAGGCACAGTCCTGCTTGCTGCCACCACCTTGTCTTTTCCCAAATTGCAACTGTGAGGGCCAAAGCGCTCAGAGAAGCCAGGCACCAGTGAAGAGGGCAAGCAGAGAGGGAACCGGCAACAGGCCCTGGAGACAGGGCAGAGCTGGCAGAGCAGGGGTGCAGGCCCCACAAGGCAGGGGCATCGGGGCTGCTTGAGCTCCCAGAGGCAGCTGATGGCAGGGCAGGCATCTCTGCCAGGCCCTGTCTGGTTTATTGACACGGGAACTCAGGTAGAGAGGGAAAGGGGGGGAAAGGGAGAGGGAGAGCATGAGGAGATGGGTGAACCTCAGTGGGTGCGGTGGCAGGTGGGAAATAGGAGGAGAGAGGCTGAGGCCATGCTCATACTGAGCACATCCAAATGCAGCAGCCACTGAGGGGAAGACAGCTACGCTTATACACTTTGCCATGTACAGGCTCTCCAGGAACACTGTAATTAAGCATTGTCAAAACAGGCTGTGAGATGACAGACTGTGAGGCAGATTTGGGTGGCCTACCAGCTGCAGCTTTGGCACTTTGTTGGCAGCATAAAAGCAAGGCTTTCAGCCTCAACAACAGCCAAAGGGCAGCATGGGCATGGCTGGCTCTGATCTCACAGCAGTGAGAGCCAGGAACAATCCATCTGCAGCTGTGCAGATACGATCTTCTTGGAGAAAACATTACAAGGGACTCCTTGGCCATATGTGTGGTTGTTCCAGCGCTGTGAGACAGCACTGCCTCACCATGTGCCAGGGTTTTTTGATGAGGGTCTCCATCAAGGGTTTGGAGGAGCAATGGGGTTTTTCAGGGCATTCTATGTTTCTGCCTTGACTGAATCAATAAATGACTACATGGATGCCTCTTGATCTTGTGATAGACCCAAGCCATGCACTAAAATACTCCATGTATTTCTCTCCAGCAACATGTAGCTCTACTTTTGATAGAGGAGTTTAGCAGTTCAACAAATATGCTTCTACAACTGCGAGTGTTAGAAAACCAGTCCCTAAAGTCCCGACCAAGCACCATGGTGTATGATCCAAAAGCACAAGACACTACAAATTCTATTTTGCTATTGTATAACCTAGCATCATTAACATGCTTCTGGTATGAAATAACATAATGTTCTATGACAAGATGTAAGCAAGATAAAGTGAGAAGATACTGAATCCTTCAGATGTGTAGAATGTTTTCAGGCCACACATCATCTGCTTCTTGTATCTAATCCAACTACAATCAACTGAATTGGTGCTGATACCAAAACACATGTGAGATTCAAAAATAAACACATTTTCAGCTTCTAATTATGCTGGAACATTTAAATTTAAAAAAAAAAAATAATTTCAGATGGGCTGAAAAGTTCATTTTCTCTTTTAATTAATTTAATTGCCATTAAGCTTCAGAAGCACAAATTGGTATTAAGCATAGGTGTTAAATTGGCCAAGTGTTAAAAGAACAAAATAAAACATTGAGGCTATTTATGACAGCAATTTCATAAAAGGTTCATAAAAGTGTTAAATAGCTGAGGAGGAGAAATGGGTCTTGAGAAAAAAATAAGTAGTGCAAAGGTCACAGCAAATTCTGTATACCACTGAGGTCTCACATAAACTTCTCCAATAAAGCATTTCTGGCACTTAGGTGAAGACCTGGTGTCCTTTGTACAAATCCCACATAATCTCCTCTCCTCCACAGTAAGCAAGATATTTAAGTTAGATTTGATGATTGTTAGTACAGAATCAAGATTTTCCCAAGAGAACACAGAAAACCTTGACATTTACCTTACTGTTGTAGAAAGAAGCTAACTATTCTTCTTAAGCCGTAAGAGATATACCAATCAGATACCAGTCTGGATGGCACTGATATGCCCCTTTAAGTAATTTAAAATGTTTTTTTTCCTAGCACGCTTTGTCATGCAACTGAATAGCTTATTTGTATGGTTTGCATACACTTGCTTATTTGAGAAGTTGATGATGATGCAGTGATCCTACAGGGCATCTTTAAGTAAATAAGATTTATCTTAGCCTATTTTGAAGAGCCTTCTTCTATTAGACACTATGATTAGATTAGATTAAACAAGTGATGCTTCTGTACATGATTGCATACAGAAACAAACCCACATCTGCTTGGAAGAGGGAAGTTCAGGGCATCTGTGAGTCTGCACTAAATGAGAGCAGAGGTGTTCAGGGACTGGGCAAATCCCACTTACATGCTAGGGGAATTAAATGGTGCAGAAGTGTTGTTTCATTATCAGCAGTATTTCTCTCTTTCTAAAATGATGCTATATTTTTCCCCATCCATGTGTTCAATAAATAGTGAACAGTAGTTTTATTTAAAATATGATCTGAATACAAAGTTTTCTCTAGCTTCTTTGAAACTATTTGGAGCCTCAGAAGGTAATACTGAAATTAGCCACTGCTCATTTCCTTTGGTGCCATCAGGATCCAGCTCAAGACTTCCTCGTTGCACAGGCAAAATATCAACGGGGAAAGGAGAGAGAAAAGTCTGCTAGTGATAATCAAAATCATACACAAACTGTTGTCACAGATTTCAGCATATTTCCTTTATGGATTCAGCTCAACCCCCTCTAGGATGCTTACCCAGAGGAATAAGAAAATAAGAAGCTCCCTCATGTATGCAATATTAACAACTTCCATGAGCAATGCAAAACAACTCATTCCAAGATATTACTTTCCCATATCGACAGAGAGTAAAAGGTGCCCACCAAGGGCTGTCTGGCCTTTACTCTATTTTGCTAATGTGATGGCTTCTCTTCCACTGTCAGTGCAGCCCCACACAGAGGGGATGGTTGCATTTTTGATGCATCTGGGAAGGTGAGTACAAATGCAGAAGGCTGCTCTTGAAATGTCAGCCTGATGACAGGAATTATTGGCACAACTGTGCGCAAGCTCATTCCTGCAAAATCTCTGGCAACAAAGAACCTCAAAATCACAGGCAGAATTTGTATGAACATATACGTCCTTTGGACATTTGCTAGGCTTTTAGATAGTCCTCCCTCCTCCATAACAACAGTTAGGTTTTGTATTTTATGTGTATGAGATTTTGTGTCTAAGATTAGTTTTATCCTTAAAAACATATCCCACATTGCTATGGTATTTTCAAAAAACCTACAATCTTACCATGTACATCTGTCCAGGTTTTAATATAATCATAAAAGCATATGGTTATGCATATTAACATATTATGAGAAGGACACGCTTTAGGCAGATCTCAATTTTCAACTTCAATAACTTGACTACTTATATGCTGTTGGAAAGCACATTAAATGACACACTGATGGCCAAAATCTACTGTTTTGAGGATGGGGATGTCACTGAATCAGAAGTTACGTGCACACATGAGTACAAAACCAGGCACTTAGGGCTTATATTTTTGACATTTTTAAAAATGTCAAAATGCAACTTGATGCAGAGAAAGGCCAAGAGATGAAAGCTGTGTTTTAATAAATATCAGCAACACCTGTCTTCTAACTTTTGCCTTTCTTGGTTCAAACATTTCTCTATATATTCTTTTGGTGCTCACTGTCTATATAGAGGCAAGGAAACTGTTGCTGTTGCCTGGACAGTTAGAGCATACAGAAGGGCCATGTTTCAAAGCAAAAATGCATAGTTGACAATGCATGCTTATAGGATTTTGGGAGCCTAGGAGATAAACTGATTATCTCTTCTGAGAGAAATAAATTTTTAAAAACCTCAGTGTATGGAATGGGAAAGCTGAGAGTGGTATAAAAAACACAGAAATCGTGACTGAACTCTGGAGGACTATCGAGTACATCTTATTAGTGAATGAAACAGACAAGTCAAGATTACCAAGGAATTAGAAAAGACAAAGGGTCCTGCAAGAAGCTTCTGACGTTTGCTAAAGGTCCATTGAAGTGAAAGGTATGTAACTCTATTATTTTTTCTGATCCCTGAAAAGACTTTATTTTGACTGATGACTATTGGTATATTTTTGCATAAGGATTTCCATTTTTAGGGAAATAGTTTGCCTTAAGTCAGTGCTTTCTGAGAAATTCCAAGCTCTTATTAACTTAAACCCAAACTTTTAAATGGTGTTCCTTAAAAAAAAAATCTGAAATTATCTGGACTGAATTTCTATTGATTTTATTTCTAAAAAACAGAGGCTCAAGCAAATGATTGTTGAAAAAATTGAGAGTTGCAAGCTTATACTATACCTCTGAGCATTCTTACAATATAGAATGGCAATATTTCCAAACTGTTTTATTGCATCTTCCTTAGCTTACAAAGAGGGCATATCAAACCAATAAGACAGCCTAAAAACAAAATGAAGAGACAAACAACATCCTGGCAAACAAACCAGGATCTGACACAAAATGTAAATGGTTAGACTCTGTGGGAGGTAAATTTAACTTCTTATTTAAAGATAGCATTTTTAAGGCATTGTCTGACACCTTACTGCAATTATTTTAAAAGGAAAAACATGTGAAGTGTTTATTTACTGAATTAATATACAGGAACGTTCTGAAGTAATTTATTGCATAGTGGTCTGCAGCCAAAGGAACTGTATCTGATAATTCTTTTTGTCCTCTCTGTTCTCTGCTCCCTAAGATTGTTCATCATTCAATTGTGGGCAAAGAAACACCCTCAGGAAGACAACTGAACAGCTAGGTTCTCAGTGGCACTGGGACCTTGTTTGGTGGCATACTGCCATACACTGCCCAGGGAGGATCACCTCTCCTCATGGAAGCACTCAACGGCCTCAACTAGTGCAGTGGCTTTGATGCTTTTTGCCCTGTACTGCTTGCTAAATGTAGTTGTGGTTGATGCCTTCCTTGGAATCACTTTCATTAAGTGTTAGAGAAGCCTCATGATAACATCTTAAGGAAAGCTTAGGAACAGCAGGACCTTTATCAAGATTTAAATCCTGTTGTGATGAGTTTCACTTGGCACCTCTCAGCCACAGATTAGAGTCTATCTCAATAACCAGCAAACAAATATCATTACTAATAATTATGTCTGAAATGCATTGCCAAGATACCTCTGCAATATCTTCTTGGAACACAACTGCTAGCCTTGCTTTCAACCCTACATCCCAAAGACAGCTGTAACTGAAGTTTTACAAGAAAGTAACTTGCAAGAGTTCCCCTCATAGCACTCCATTTTCTGTTAAATCTCATCAACAGTTATAATAATGTTTGCATTTCCAATGAAAAAAAATCCAACTTGAGACAGAAAAGACTGTTAACAGTGTCATGCTTTAAAATGTCACCTAATACATTGCCTGGGAAAAGAGGTTAGATGCTACAGTTTTCCCTGGCAGTGTTAATCAGATTAGTTACTTCATTTTGCTTAGAATCTAAGAAGCTAATGGTTTTGCTATTTTTGTAGGTAGATATCTGCCTATAACAAAAGTATTGCTGGTCAAAGATAAACGGATTTAATTTAAAAAAAAAAATCCAAATCTGAATTATCTATTACACTGAAATCATAGTGCTAGGGGAAAAAAAAAAAAAAAAAAAAAAAAAAAAAAAAAAAAAAAAAAAAAAAGTTGAAACATCACTTCCTGAATTTCATCCACTTTAGTCACTTTTTATTATAGATGTCAACTCCATCAGAATATCATCTGTCAAAACGAATTAGTGGAAAATTCAGTACTTCACTTCTAATGAAGAATAAGGTTGTAATAGCATTTCAATTTTCCTTCATGTTCTTGTTAGCACTTGATAAATGCTCTTTTACAAGCTCTGCTACTCTTCTGACATGATGCCTGCACTTCAATCTAACAAATCTAAAGAAAGTCAAAAGCACAAAGCTTTCTGGTTTTCTTAACAATTCATGAGATCTCTGCAAACTATTTTCATCTTGATGACTTAATTTCAGTGGATTAGTTGGTTTTTTCCTCCCCTCCTAAATAATGTTTTATTTTAAGTGGATGTCCGTATTAGAAGAGATTAATGAACACAAAACAGTATGTCAATGTAAAACATCCAAAGCACTTCTGTATGTTCATGTATGTATATACAAGAAGAAAGGAATGAACTATTTTGTATCTTATCTATGGGGTGCTCTGAAAAAAAAATTTAATCACAAATTACTCTTTTTCTTTCATTTCTCATATTTGAGATCCATCATAATGCTACACTGGGAATAGACACTTCTCTTAAAACATCTGCTGTACTTACACCCTTGAGAAAAAAAAATATGGCTTTCTTCAACACAAAACTCAACTGTAGGTACAACTGAAGGCACAACAATCGCTCAAGTGGCCCAAATGTTGACTGGGCAACCTTTCTGAGCCACACCATCAGAGATTTGCCATCTTCTGCACACACAGCAACAGCCATCTGCTCCGCAGGGAGCTGTGTCACTGGATCTGACTCAAAGTTTGTGAAAAGCAGGAGCAGAAGGGAGGAGGGGCGCTGGGATGCAGGGCTGGGTGAAAGCTCTGGAGCAGTAGGTTGGTCATTCCTGGCAGTTCCCAAGATGCAAAGACTGGGACCCCTGACCACTACTCTTGGGAGCTGTCACTCCCACAGGCAGCAGCAGCTACTGTCCCTTCCATCATCTCTTGCCATTAATGACACCAACCAGCCCTGCCTGCCCAACTAAGCACAGACAAACTGGGCAGTGGAGCTGTGCCTTCCTCTGCCTCTTCCAGTAAGCCCTCCCAGAACATTCTTTGCTTAGATGTGAACTGTCCTTCCTGTCTTGGAAAAAATGGAATTATGCCTTTTGGCTAGAGTCAGTGGCATGGGAGTCCAAAAGGTAATAGAAAACCATTAGAAGCTGGAAACTTCAGAAAAGCAAAGGAAAAAAGGATGGAAAAAAGGATACAAAATAGGATAATGATGGTGGGTCAGTGCTAGAAGGGATTCTGCAGAACAGGGAGAAGCATTTACTAAGTTTTTATGTTCTGTATTTTGGGAAAGAGACAGATAATGTATACATACCAGA